ACACACACACACACACACACACACACACACACATACACACATTCACGTGCACACACATGCATGCAAGCAAGTCACACCCACATACATTACATAACACATGCATGCACGCACTCCAACACGTGCACACACAGGCACCCAAATGCACACGCGGTCACACACGCACACGTGGCCACACACACTGAACTAATCAAAAATGGCCTCCTCAGAGCCCGTTGTCGCCAATCTGTCCAGCAGAGGGAGCCTTCTTCACACTCAGGAGAGCGAGGAGGTCCCGCAGCTGCCGGGCGACAGGCCTGAGCCTGGGTGTGTTTTGACATTTACACTTGCCAGTGCAGCAGAGTCCGGGGGACCCAGAGACCACACACTTCCTCTCCTCGCTCTCATTCATCACTCTCATGGCCCTTCGTGGATACTCGATGTGCATTACAAGCATGGTGATCGTGGAAAATCCACACCACAGGGGAAAAGTCAGGTGCAGAGAAAGGCAGTCGTGTGCCCAGGCCGCCGGTAGGAAGGGACAGAGCCGACGCTGAACCCATATATGTGGGGTTTTTTGCTGGCAGATGGCAGGGTTGCACTGGGAGGGAGCAGCAGGTGTTTGGCAAATGATGGGCTCTTGGAGACCCTCGGTCAGGACAGGTGTGGCAGAGACAGCATCCGCAACAGCCACTTGGCTCCCGTACGTTTCCCATTCAGCCCAGGAGTACCTGGGACAGGGACGATTCCAGCAGGTGCCACCTGGGGACACTCCAGGACACGGTCCACTGCCACCTCCAGCATTGATGGTCCACCCCATCCCAGGCCCTCTTCACACCCCCTTCTATGCAAAGAGATGCTAAGGACCCAGACCAGGACCAGGAGCCCCAGGGATGGGACAGAAAAGTTCTAAGGACTCCCGCTGAGGCCCCACCATAAGGATATCCTTGCAGGACCTTGGGTGAGCCATTTCACTCTGGGGTCTCAGTTTCCACCTCTGTAAAGTAAAATAATAGGCTGTGTGCAGTGGCTCACACCTGCAAACCCAGCACTTTGGGAGGCTGAAGCCAGAGGATCGCTTGAGGCCAGGAATTTGAGACCAGCCTGGGCAACATAGCAAGACCCCATCTCTACAAAAAATTAGGCAAGCATGGTGGCGCGTTCCTGTAGTCCCAGCTACTCGGGAGACTGAGGCAGGAGGATCACTTGAGCCCAGGAGTTCGAGGTTACAGTGAGCTGTGATTGCGCCACTGCACTCCAGTCTGGGCAACACAGCCAGACCCTATCTCTAAAAAAAATAATACTAAGATAATAAAACATGATCTCATAAGTTAGTGTGAGGTTAAATGAGAACATAATATATGGGAATAGCACACAGGAAGTACTCCATCAATTTTAAATCTCATTATTGTTATATTAACTTTGGAGACCCCTAGGGCTTGGTCCTCAACCCCTTCCTCCATACACACACACATGTGCATATGCACAGATACACACACAAACATGCACACATGTGTGCACGCACACACAGGGGCATTATACACCATCTAAATACTAAGGCTTCCCAAATGTACATCCCCAATCTGGAACTCTCTGCTGAATTCGAGAACCATCTTATTCGACTTCCCGCTTGACATCTCCAATTCCTCCTGGCTGAAACTGACACCCTGACCTCACCCCCCTCCCCACCAAAAAATAACTTACTCCACTCGGCGCATTGTTGTGTCCATTGTTGGCGGTTCCACCTTTCCAAGCTCTGAAGCCCAAATGATGGGCTCTGAAGTCCTCCCTTCTGCTGAAACCCACATTCGATCCATCAGCGAAATGGACCCACCAGCATTGCCTCGGTCTCCGTTCAACCTGGCTGCCAAAGTCCACATGACAAATCTTATCCCTCCTCTGCTCAGAACCCTCCAGGGCTCCCCATTTCTCTCACAACAAAAGTCAAAATCCAAGGCCCTTTGTGAATTAACTTATTTCTTTACTTATTTGTCATTTATCATCTGTCTTCTCCTGAAGAGTTCAACTATGCAAGGGCTTGAACCGTGCCTGGCTCTGTCACCCAGGCCAGAGGGCAGCGGGGCGGTCACAGCTCACTATAACCTCAAGCTCCATGCCCCCCCTTTTATACCCCCCTATTAGGGACTACTCCACCACCAAGTTCCCTCAACCAAAGACCTGGGTGTCACACTTACTGCCTTCCTCCCCTCAGCCTCCACAGCTAGATAGTCACCTCAATCCAGGCACTTCCTGTCTTGGCTAGACCTCAGCTTCCCTCTTCCCCAGGGTCCCAACCTCCAGTCCGCCCCTCAAAAATTCTCCTCCATGCCAGCCCTAAATCTGACCATGTCCTGCCCTGACCCTGCTCACACGCCCCCCATGGCTCCCTGTTGCCCTCAGTAAAAAGTCTGTGAATTTGGCCCATGTCCACCACCCTTCCTCCCTTCTGCCCAAACTCGCCAGATCCAACCACACCAGCCCATTACAAATTCCTTGAGCACACTGTGCTCTCCCTCAACTCAGAGCATTTGCAGATGCTGTTCCTTCTGCCTGGAATGCGCTTCCCTCCCCTCGTCACCCACTCAACTTCTCCTGCTTCAGCACCAAAAGAGCTCTCCCTGACCCACCTCCAATCCCCGTTATGTCACCCGGCACCAGGCGCCTCTCCTCTGGAGCACTAGTCATGGGTTGCAAATAAACATTCACATGCGGAATTATTTGTCCAACATCCGTCTCCAACCCTCTGCAAAGGCAGGAATTGGGCCTGTCTGTGCTCCTGGCCCAGTGCCAGCAGACAATTAATAAACACGTGATCTGTTGACAAAATAACCAAACGCACAAACTGTCCCAAAAAAATATGAGTTTATGTCCTAGGACAGAGGCTTCCCAGCCTCCTAGCCCACGGCTTCCCTCAGTTGCTTCACAGCTGCCTAGAGCCCCTCATTTCTGGAGTGCAGGGCTACAGGTACAAGGGGCTGGCTGGGCTAGGGGCGGAGGGGTGGGTGGGGTATGTGCATCCCTTGCCTTTATTCTACAAAAATCAGAACACTCAGCAAAGGGCCTTTGCACAAGGGAGGAAGGAAGGGGTCTGGGCTGACAAAACAACAACAGAAGCAGACAGCCCCAGTTTGCTCAGGGATGCCGCCTGAGCAGTTCGCCCTCTGAGCTGAGGGCCTCGAGAGGGTGATGTCACGGGTTCGGGGCTCTCACCCTCCAGCCTCCAAGTCCTCAATTGAGAAGCTAGCCTGGGAGTCCAGCCAGGAGGGGGTGCGTCTCAGGTCCTCAGAAGGTTTGGTGGGCATGGCCTGGGGACCTGGCTCCGCAGGGGTGAGGCCAGAGGACAAGCCGCAGGATCCTGGGGGCGGGGCCTGAGCCCTAGGGGGCGTGGCCAAGTCTGGTCCCTCAAGCAGAACAATAGGTGCAGACACTCAGGGGGCGGGACCTAAACCTCGAGGGGCGGGATCAGACCCTCAGGGGGCGGGGCCTCACCTTGAGGGGCGTGGCCAGCACCATCGGGCCGCTCAACAGCGGCTCCCGGTCCTACAGGAGTAGAACCTGGACTTGGAGGGCAGCGGTCTCTGCCCTCGGGATGTTGGGGGCGGGGCTTGGGCCTTCAGGGGCGGGGCCTGGGACTCTCTGAGTGGGGCCTGGACCACCGGGATCCGCAGGTGCGCCCCTCGCTCAGGCCCGCGGAGGCAGCGGCTCCACGTTGAGCCAGATGCCATTCTCCGTGCGCAGGATGAGCTCCGGCTTCCGCCGCACCTTGCGTGTTCGGTCCACGCTCAGGCGGAAGCGCAGCAGCGTGAGCGCCACCGCCACGCGCATCTCGGCCATGGCGAAGCTCTGTCCGATGCAGTTCCTGCAGGAGGGGACGAGGCTCAGGCCCAGCCGCAGAGGGCACGGGGCCGGGGGGGAGGGGAAAGAGAGGGAGGTCACTGGGCCTCACCTGCCTCCTCGTGTCTAAAACGAGGCAAGCATCCTAGGCTGGATGAAGGTTAAAGTGAGATCCCAAGAATCATTAAATGAATGTGACACTGGGGACGAGTGTGTTTGAATCCTGGCGCAGCCCTTTACTAGCTGTGTGTCCTGAGTTATGACCTCCCCTCCTGAGCCTCAGTTCCCTCATCTGTAAAAACAGGGACAAGGGCATTGTAGAGACGTTGGGAGCATGCAAGCCTAGAACTCAAGGCCTGGCACACAGTAGGTGCCCAATATCCAGGGATGCTATTGCAGAGTCTGCTTTTGGGGGGGGTTCCTGGTGTATTGGTGGGGGTGCAAAGAGGGTGTTGGGCTGGGGGGTGGGACATGGTCTCTGCGCCTGACTGGCACATCACTGACCTTCCACTGGCTCTGTTCCTCCCACACCTGGTTTGGACTGGGGAAAATCGAGGGGCTACCTGGGTCCTGCAGAGAAGGGCACATAGGCCAGTGGGGAGCGCTGCTGCGGGTTGTCCGGGTCAAAGCGGTAGGGGTTGTACACCTGGGCAGGAACAGTCTGGGTGTGAGTGTGGGAGCTGGCCCAGCCATCCCAGCCTGTCTTCCTCCCTCTGCCTCTGGTCTTCCATTCCACCCCACACTCACTCAGGAAAATGCGGCCGCAACTGCCTCCTTCTGTTGGTCAGGCACACCCAGCTCATTCCCACCCCAGGACCTTTGCACTTGCTGTTTCCTCTGCCTGGAACATGCTTCTCCCTGCTCTTTCCACCCTTCGGGTCTCAGCTGAAACATCTCTTCCTCTGCAAAGCCCTTCCCAACCACCTGCACTAGTGCCCACCCACATTGGTTTTTCTTTCTTTTTTGCATTTATCAATACCCAAAATGATCATATTTATTTGCTATTGGCTTCCCCTGAACTTCGCTGTGAGCTCTGTGAGGGCTCCCAGTCCTCACTGCCCAGCACAGGGGCTGGCACAGAGTAGGTGCTCAGTAAATATCTGTTGATCTAGTGAATTCGTGAGTGGGTGGATACACGGGGTGGGGGGGGGATGCTCACTCTCTGCAACCAGCCCTGCTGTCTGGCTCCCTGGGCTGGGGGGCAAGGACAGCCCTGCTGCTCCAGGGCTGCCCCTTCTGGGGAGGGAGGAAGGAGCTGAGGGGGCAGGGAGGGTTGCTGGGCAGCAGCTCACCTTGGAGTCAGGCCACACTGTGGGGTTGTGGTGGGTTCCGTAGATGCTGACCAAACAGATGATTCCTGTGAGGACAGTCAGGGTCAGTGGGGCTAAGGGAAGCCAGAGCTTCCTCCAGAAACTTCCCTTTCCCTGGGTCTCCCCGGAGCTGTGGCATTCCCATGAGCCATCTGCCACCACTGCCTGTCCATCCTTCCCTGAAAAATTCTGCTCCCCGATCCACTGCCCCTACATTTCCCTAAGAGGACACCATCGTGTTCTTTCTGGCTGCCAGGCTGGCCACGCAGAGATCTTTCTCACCCACAGATCTGACATTACTCCTCCTCAACTCAAACACCTCCCTTGGCTCCCTAGTGCCCTCGGGATCAAGTTCAGGTGCTACCACCTGGCAGTCAGGGCCTTTCACAATCTGCACGCTGAGGCTCTGTTCCATAAACATGCTCTTTCACTTCCAGCCTCCAAGGCTCACCGCCCACATTCCCTCCTCCAGGTGGCCCCCCCTGCTTTCCTCCCCAGATAGAGCCATCCCTCCATATTTGGGCTGCTTCAGTCCTTGTCTCTCCCTGTAGCTCATTCCTGGGAATGTCTGCAACCTGCCGCTGTATCTCCCCCAGACCTCTCCATCTCCAGCATCACCCAGGACAGCGCTTGGTCTCCAGGGGATACCTAGCCAGTGAATGAAACCGACCCTCTGCTACCTGCACGCACACTGGCCAACCTGCCGTACTGCCTTCCTGCCTGTCCACCAGGACTCCCCACCTCGATCTCCCCTCCCCCACACACGGCTGGGTTTCCCGTAACACCCCCCAGACGACAGGCACTTAGAGAGCTGCCCCATCCTCAGGGATAGTGCACCTGGGGCGGGCATGGCCAGGCCCCCGTGGACACTGGAGCAGCCACATCATCAGGGACAGTGGTGCACCAGCAGCAGGGGCACACGGCGGGCACCTTTGGGGATGACACGCCCATCTGGGAGCTTGATGTCCTCCGTGCAGCGGCGGGAGACAAGGGTCACAGGTGGGAACTGGCGCAGGCTCTCCTTGATGCACATCGTTGTGAAGGGCAGCTGAGTCAGGTCGTCCCTGGGGAGAACGAAACTGTGACTTGAGACCAGGCCACGGTGACATGACACCCCCAACCCCGCAAACACACATACACTCGAGGGCAGCTGGGCAGGAAACCCGCGCAGTTTTTCAGACTTGCCTCAGTTTCCAGCATTTGCAGTCTCTCGTGCCCTTACCACTGACACTTAGGCTGCAAAATATCTGAGCACCGACCAATCAGAACTGCACTGGCACTGGGCCCCCGCTGGGCCAGCATCCACCCTTTCATTCAAGAGTTATGTGGAGGTCAGGGGGCATCTGGCAGAGGAGCCAGGGCAGCCAGGGGGGTTCAGGGCAGCAGCAACTTTCCAGCTTGTATGGATCCATTTCAGTATTTAAAAACCAGAGCATCCTCTCCTTATGCTATTATTACCATTATTTACTTAATATTTTTTCCTTTGGATTTTAGGGCCCAAAATTGGGTTAATGATAACTCTTGGGGTTCATGTTCTAGATCTTTTTCTTTAAACCAACATGTTCTCTCTCTCTCTTTTTTTTTTTTTTTTTTTTTTTTTTTTTTTTGAGACAGGGTCTTGCTCTGTTGCCCAGGCTAGAGTGCAGTGGTGTCATCATAGCTCACTGCAACCTCAAACTCCTGGGCTCAAGCAATCCTCCTGCCTCAGCCTCCTGAGTAGCTGGGACTACAGGCATGTGCCACCACACCCAGCTAATTTTTCTATTTTTTGTAAAGACAGGATCTCACTCTTGCTCAGCCTGGTCTCGAACTCTTGGGCTCAAGTGTTCCTCCTGCCTCACCCTCCCAGAGTGCTAGGATTACAGGTGTGAGCCAGTGTGCCTGGCCAGGTTCTCTTTTAAGGAAATTTTATGGCCAGGTGTGGTGGCTCACACCTGTAATCCTAGCACTCTGGGAAGCTGAGGCGGGAGGATCGCTGAGATCAAGAGTTTGAGACCAGCCTGAGCAAGAGTGAGACCCCGTCTCTGCCAAAAATATAAAAAAAAAAAATTAGCCAGGTAATCCTAGCACTCTGGGAAGCTGAGGCGGGAGGATCGCTGAGATCAGGAGTTTGAGACCAGCCTGAGCAAGAGTGAGACCCCGTCTCTGCCAAAAATATAAAAAAAAAAAATTAGCCAGGTATGGTGGTGCACACCTGTACTCCCAGTTACTCGGGAGGCTGAGGCAGGAGGATCACTTGAGCCCAGTAGTTTGAGGTTGCAGTGAGCTAGGATGACACCACTGCACTCTAGCCAGGTCAACAGAGTGAGACTCTCTCTCAAAAAATAAAATAAGGTAAGATAAATAAATAAATAAGAAACTTTATGTTGCTACCACAAAGGGCAGACATCATCCCTGGCATAAAGGTATCCATATGTACAAACACCACTGCAAAAACAGATGAATGTCATTTAATTATGGCTAGACAACCTCTCCTGCCCAACTCTTTGAACCCGAGGCATCTTCCCCCTTTGTTAAAAAGGCAAATTCACTGGGCGAGGTGGCTCCCATCTGTGATCCCAGCTACTCAGGAGGCTGAGGTAGGAGGATCACTTGAGGCCAGGAGATTGAGACTAGCCTGGGCAACATAGCGAGACCCTCATCTCTAAAGAAATTTTTTAAAAGAAATAGCCAGGTGTGGTAGCACGCCTGTAGTCCCAGCTACTTAGAGGATCAGGCAACACAGCAAGACTCCATCTCACAAAAGGAGAAAAAAAGGCAGATGAGCAAAGTGTTCAGGACGCAATAGCACCAAACTGAGATGCTTCTCTGAGGTCATAATGCAAAAGGTTGAGAGAGAACAGAGGGACTTTCTCACTGTGCAAGCTGATGCTAGTAAATGCTATGTTTTCTTTGCATCACCCAAAGTCAGCTCCACACGGCACACATCTAAGAGAGACTGGGTTATTGTTCGTGACTCTCCACTTCCTCCCTGTCTTACAATGGTGCACCTGTGTTCTTGGCTGTTTGATGCGACAGCACCTTTTACTCACGTGAATGGTGTATACATCCTGCCCCATTCATCCTGGGCTTGGCCATGTGACTTGCTTTAGCCAATGTGATGTTATGATTAAAAGCAAGCAGAGCTTTTAAACTGCATGGCTTTTGGTGCTTCCGGAATCTCCGTTGAGAAGAACATGACCCATGGGTAGCTGTGGGTCCAAGAACAGACCTGAACCCAACTCTTAGTTTGGAAGCAACTCCGGTTCACTCAGCCAAGCCCAGCAGCGACAAAAGTCACGTGCATACAAAAGCAAGAAATAAATGCTTGCTGCAAACCACTGAGTTTGGGGGCTGTTTGTTATGCAGCATTGTTGCTGACTCGGACACTCTGAGAACTCCTGCATTATGAGACATGATTACCAGCACTGTTTTACAGCAGAAGACACTGGAATTCAGGAAGCGTCAATGACTTCTCTAAGGTCACACATTGAGTCAGTGGGAGAGCGAAGCTTCACGCCCAAGGCTCTGGCCTCAACCTGCCCCCATCCCTCCCCCAACCCCAAACTGACCACTCCAGCTCCTCCAGCTCCTGGCCTTTCATGACTTCCTGGATCTCTTCCCGGCACTTCTCCTGGTATTCCGGATACTTCGCCAGATTGAACAGCACCCAGGAGAGCCCACTGGATGTCGTGTCGTGACCTGCAGGCAGATGAGGTCACCTGAATGGAGGCTGCCTGAAGACAGCGGAGATGCCATCTACGAACAGCGGTACCCTCCCTGCCCTCCCTCTTCGTCGCCCTACGTCCTCACCCTCGAACATGAAGGTGTCCGCCTCAGCTCGGATGTCCTCGTCTGACAGTTCCTTTCCGTCTTCATCCTGAAATGGGCAGAGAGGATGCTGAGCCCACTTCATCCCACCCTCTGCATCCCGGGGGCCCCTCAAAACTCAGATCTCCCGTCTCTCTCTTAAGCCAAGCTGCGGGGGAAAGTACTGCAGGATGGAAGTATGCAGCTTGTCTAAGAAAGATGGCAAAAGAAAAGGAAAGTTAAAGGTTAGCTCCTACTTCCTGAGCAGCTTCTAACACCAAGAATCCTGCTGTTTGCATGGCAACAAGCTTGTGATCAAGTCTTACGATCACCATGTATAAATGGGGAAACTGAGGCTCAGGGAGAAGAGTAATATAACCAAGGTCAAACATCTACGAAGGGGGCCGGGTGTGGTGGCTCAGGCCCATAATCCCAGCACTTCGGGAGGCTGAGACAGGAGGATCGCTTGAACCCAGGAGTCTGAGGTTGCTGTGAGCTAGGATCACACCACTGCATTCCAGCCTGGGTGACAGAGCAAGACCCTGTCGCAAAAAGATTTTTAAAAAAATAAAAAAGAATCCACTAAGTGGCAGAGGCAGGACTGGAATCTAGGACTCCAAATCAAGGACCCATATGCTGCTCAAAAATTCCACAGAAATGCCACCAATGAGGGACCAAACACCTATGCAAGAGTCACGTCTCTTCAAGGTCACGTATTTCATCTTTGTAGTGTTACGGGCTGAAGGGTGCCCCATCCCCTAGAATTCACAAGCCCTAACCTCCGGCGCCCCAGCATGTGACCATGTTTGGAGACAGGGTCTTTGCAGAGGCAATCAGATTAAAAATAAGCTCACGAAGGTGGGCCCTAATCCAATATGACTGGTGTCCTTATAAGAAGAGATTAGGACAAAGACAAAGATTATGCACAAAGGAGAGAGGAAGTACAGACGCAGGGAGAAGACGGCCATCTATAAGCCAAGGAGAAAGGCCTAGAACAGATTATTTCTCCATGGCCCTAAAAAGAATCCAACCCTGCAGATGCCTTGATCTTGGACTTCCAGCCCCCAGAACTATGAGAGAATAAATGTCTCTTGTTTAAGGCCACCCAGTCTGTGGTACGTTGTATGGCAGCTTGAGCGAACTCACGCAGTGAGTCTTTTTATTTATCTATTTTTTTGAGACAGGGTCTGACTCTGTTGCCCAGGCTGGAATGCAATGGCACGTTCACAGCTCACAGCAACCTCAAACTCCTGGCTTCAAGCGATCCTCCTGCCTCAGCCTCCTGAGTAGCTGGGACTACAGGCGCGCGCAACCATGGCAGGTCATTTTTTTATTCTTTTGTAGAGATGGGGTCTCATTATGCTGCCCAGGCTGGCAACAAGCAATCCTGCCTCAGCTGCTCAAAATGCTGGGATTATAGGCATGAGCCACCAAGCCAGGCCCTATGTGAGTTTTAACATGTGTGATTTCAGGAAGTTGGTGCCATTCCCGGAGAGGCCGTCCTGGGCAGGGCTCCGCCCTCCAAGGGCCCAGCCTCACCTTGGCCAGGAGCAGCACATCGATGAAGTCCAGGGTCTTGCCCTGCTTGGCCTTGAGCCAGGCCTCGGCCCCCTGCTGACGCAGCGCCCGCCGCCGCTCCTGGATGACTTCATTGGTGAAGCGGTGCACGGTGTCACAGGCCTGCCTGAAACGCCGCCCGTCCGCCGTGCGGTAGTAGATGAAGTCCAGGTACTGGTGCAGGCGGTACTGGCGCTTGACGGCCAGTGCACTCAGCTCGATGATGGCGGAGATATAGTCGCTCATGTTCCTGCCGCGGAGAAGAAAGGCCATGAGCGTGGCCTGTCCCCTAGCCCGGCCCAGACACACCCACGGCTTGGCTAAGATAAGCCTCCTCTCCCCATTGCGCAAATAACAAACAGAAGCCCTGTATTAACTCTATTTTGGGGGGATGGGGGCTTGTGGGGTTGGTTTGTTTGTTTATTTTTCTGAGACAGGGTCTTGCTCTGTCACCCGGGTAGAGTGCAGTGGTGTCATCATAGCTCACAGCAACCTCAACCTCCTGGGGACTCAATCTATCCTCCTGCTTCAGCCTTCTGAGTAGCTGGGACTACAGGTGAAAGCCACCATGCTCACTTTTTTTTTTTTTTTTTGTATTCTTGATGCTCTGGCATCTAGGGCCTTGCTAACTGGCGAGAGATGCCCCTTGAAAGACTAGAAAATTCTTAAAGAAAGTAAAGAACTCATCCGAGAGCATGCCTTTCATACACAAACCAACTCATGCAGACCAAATACTCAAACATTGATCAGGACAAGACACTATCCCCCTTTCTTACTCCCCCCAGGGCTGGGTACCAGGCAGCTAAAGGCAGCTCCTACACAGCCCAGAGCCCAATGGAATTATTCAAATTAGCCAACCCTAAGCCTGTTTACCCTGCCTCACCTGTTCTTTCCCGCAGAAACTGCAAAAAAGGCTTTTGCCCACATTTTTTCCTGACGGGTCCTAGTACTTCCCTGTGTGGCCCTGCGTGGTGGAATGTGCCCCCTGCTCTTGGAAGCTGTAAAAAAACAAACTCCCTTTTCAACGTCAGTCATTGCCTGATCTGCTGGCCTCACCAGACATGAATGAAACCAAAATCCCAGGCCCAAAGAGTGACGGGGACTTCCAAGACAGACGTAGCCATTGTAGCATCACTGCAACTAAATGGCCGCAATCCTCGGAGGGGGAGAAAATATTTGCAAATCATTTATCTGATAAGGTGCCGGCACCCAAAATAGATGAAGAATTCTCAGAACTCAATAATAAAAAGACAACCCAATTTAAAAATGGGCAAAGGGTCCAAGAGACATTTCTCCAAAGCAGATAGACAAACGACAAATGTGAAAAGATGCCTGACACCGTTAGCCATCAGGGAAATGCAAATCGAAACTACAATGAGGTGCCGCTTTACCCAACGAGGATGACTAGAGTCAAAAAGAAAAATAAAGACAAGTGTTGGTGATGATATGGAGAAATTGGAACCCTCTGCCAAAAACTTAGGATTATGAAGAACAAGAAGAAGAAAATAAGCAATGGAACCCTCATACACTACTGGTTGGAAAAACAAAATGGCGCAACCACTCTGGGGGGAAAAAAAAGTCTAGCAGTTCCTCGAAAGGTTAAACATGGGATCGCCATATGGCCCAGCAATTCCACTCCTGGGAATCTATCGAAGAGAATTAAAAATATACGTTCACACAAAACCTTGTACATAAATGTTTATAGCAGCATCATTCCTAATAGTCACAGAGTGGAAACAATGCCCATCAATTGGTGAATGGGAAAACAAAGTGTGGTATTATGTGATAAATGGAATATTACTCCGCAATGAAAAGAACTAAATCACAGATGCATGCTACGACCTGGATTAACCTCAAAAACGTTGGGCTGAGTGAATCAAAGCAGACACAAAATTCACATGATTCCACCTATACAAAATGTCCATGCTAGGCAGAAGGTAGATTAGTGATTGCCCAGACCTTGAAGAAGAAAGAGGTGGGGAAGGACTACTAAAGTGTATGGGGGCCGGGCGCGGTGGCTCACGCCTATAATCCTAGCACTCTGGGAGGCTGAGGCGGGCGGATTGTTTGAGCTCAGGATTTCGAAACCAGCCTGAGCAAGAGCGAGACCCTGTCTCTACTAAAAATAGAAAGAAATTAATCGGACAACTAAAAATATATAGAAAAAATTAGCCGGGCATGGTGGTGCATGCCTGTAGTCCCAGCTACTCGGGAGGCTGAGGCAGAAGGATCGCTTGAGCCCAGCAGTGTGAGGTTGCTGTGAGCTAGGCTGACGCCACGGAACTCACTCTAGCCTGGGCAACAAAGCGAGACTCTGTTTCAGAAAAAAAAAAATAAAGTGTGTGGGGTTTCTTTGGGGGATGATGATCATATTCTGAAATTGATTGTGGTGATGGTTGTACAACTCTGAATATACTAAAAATAATTCAATTGTGTACTTTAAGTGAGTGAATAGCATAGTACGTGAATTGTATCTCAATAAATCTATTATTTATTTTTTTTAGACTAGTCAAATGCAGTAGTGATAAGGGGGTAAATCTATTATTTAAAAAAACAAAACAAAACAAAACAAAAATGCTAACCAGCCTGAACAACATAGAGAGAGAGAGAGAGAGACCCTGTCTCTCCAAGAAGTTAAAAACCTTAGCCAGATGTGGTGGTGCGTGCCTGTTCTCCAGCCTAGGCAACTGAGCGAGACCTGGTCTCTAAAAAACTACATAATATTAAAAACTAAATAAATAAACTCAATTAAAATAAGATGAAGCCGGGTTGCAAGGAGCTGTCCTTAGTCGTGAAGTGGGCTTGTTTTCATGCACTTATTATAGTCTGTTGTTTTCCCATCTATTTATTTGTTCATTGTTAACTGCCTGTCTTCCCACCAAAATGGAAGTTCCGGAAGAGCAAAGGCTTTTCTGTCTTGTTGGCTACTGTGTTCCCAGTACCTAGTTCAGGATGGGCACATAGTAGGCATTCCGTAAATAACTCCTGGATTAATTAATTAATTAATTAATTACTGAGGTCATCTCTGCCTTATCCAACCGAAACGTGCCCCTACATTGCCCAAAGAAACAAAGTCATCAGCTTGTTGCTGAGGACCTACTGTGTGTTACAAACTTCACGTTCATCGTCTACCTGATTCCTTATCTCCCCACACAGACAACAGGCTCCATGGAACTGTGACTGTGTGTGGCTCACAACCACATCCTCAGCAGTTAGCCCGGTGCCAGGCACACAGTAGGTACACAATGAATATTTCATGAATGAATGAATGAACCAGGGCAATGCTTTTATTTTATTTAATCACTCAACAAACATTCTCTGAGCATCTACTATGTGCCAGGTCAGTGCCACACCTACTAACCCTTAAAGCATCTCTCGAGGAGTCACGAGTTATCACCTTTGTTTGACAAACAAGGAAACTGAGGCTCAGAAAGCGGGGGTGGGGGAGACACTGTCCAAAGACCACACATTCTTCATGAAAGAATGAAAAAAAACCTAACATGTCCTGAGCCCCTACTATGCGTCAAGCCACTGACTCACGTGATCTCCTTTCATTCTCCCATGATGACTATGGGAAAGGGTCTATTACGATGCCTATGTTTTGAATAAGGAAACTGAGTCTCAGAGAGGCGATGTCGGTCTCCTAGAACCACATAGCCTGTCGGGGGCAGAGCTGCTGCAGCCCAGGTTGCCTGGCACCTGACACCTTTCTCCTGCCACCACTGGCCCGTCTTCCCGAGGAAGGTCACACTCACTCTTGGCAGTTGCTGTTGTAGCTGAAGACACATTTCTGGAGACTGTCCAGGGTCATGAGGCTGACATGCTCGAACATGTCCAGGGAGACCACCGAGCCCTCTGCCAGACGCCGCCATTTAGCCTGGAAGAAAGACACAGAGCGAGTGGGTGGGGGCCCACAGACAGGGGGGCGAGCCCAGTAAGGATCTGGCTGCGTCCTCGCTACACACCCACTTTATAGATAGAAAAGAAACGAGGCCTCCTGACATCACGCGACCTGCCCGTGAGCTGGAGCCTGCCCGTCTCACTCCGGGACTCACGTGCATGACGTCGGTGCACTGGTTGAAGATCTTCATGTACGGCTTCAGGATGTCGAAGTGGAAGGCGGGCGTCAGCAGGCGGCGGTGCCGGCTCCACTTGTCACCTTTGCTGAGCAGTAGCCCATCCCCTGGGCCCGGAAGACGCAGGTTAGGGGACCTCACCTGTTATTCTGAAACCCTCCAGGGAGGCCCCACGCCCAGATCTCTCTTCCCTGAAGCCCCAGTCTGCCCACTTGGCACTCACCTAGCCAAGGTTTCAGGAAGCCATAGAAAAGCTCGTCCTTGGGGGCAATGGCAGCTGTGGAGAGGGAGGTGGCAACTGTGACTCAACACAGAGCTCTGAGCATTGACCTTTGCTTGTGACTTCCTGGGCCCTCCTTTCTGAGGGCTCTGACCTCCCACCTCACCCCTCCAGTCCATCCTCCACACCTGCCCCGGAAAGATCCTTATAACATGCTGATCTGAACATGAGCCTCCCCTGCTCAAACGCCTCCCATGGCTCCCCACTGCCCTTGTAAAAAAGTTCAAGTTCAGCCTAGCATTGAAGGCCCTGCCCCACCTGGCCCTCGTATGCCTTGCCTATTGCATCCTTCAACAAACACCAGATACCCCCATTCCCATGGCATGCCGTCACTCCCCACCAAACCTCTGGCCAGGCTGGATGCTCTACCGACAACGGCCTTCTTCACTTGAATCTCTCCCGCCCCCCTCTCTTCTGCTAGCTCGGGCCATCCGAATCACACCTCCTGTGCTCCCAGCCTCCAGCCTCACCCCGTCCACTCTGCCTCTCATGCTGCCCCACAGGGATCTCATCCGACTCCCAGATCTGCAATGCCCCTTCCTGCTCACACGCCCGTCACCCGCACGCCCAGCCGCTCGGCCCACTTCCAGAGCCCTGAACGCCCTGCCCCTGTCCGGACCCCTCAGAACACCTCTGTCCTCCGCCCCCCGCCGGTCCACATCACAGAACTTTTCTCAGCTGCTCCAGAAGGCCTTGTGCCTTCTCTGCTCGCGGCCTGGCCACCGGCTGCCCTCCTGCACCCAAACACTGCATGCTCCGGGCCCACCTTGGATGCCCCTCTCTCCAACAGTCACTCTGGGTGCGGTTGTGTCCACCCAGTGACAAGCACCCCCTCGAGGGGAGTGACCGTGTTGATTGCCGATACATATTGGTGCTAAAGAAATTTTTTGTGAATGAGTGAATGAATGAATCAATCCATCAAAGAATGAATGAATGAAAGAATAAACAGCTGGATGGATGCATGGATGGATGGATGGATGGATCCTTCTTCTATAAACTCCACAAATTTAGGGCTGAATAGGCAGGTGCCCAGGAAGAAAGTACCTGAAACTCGAGTGATGTCACTTTTCCCTTAATATGACTCAGACACCTACCCGCACACGCTGCCCAAGATTGACCAGCTGCTAGCCCAGTCATCTCTCTACTCGTTCTTCCACTTGACACACCTCTCCTGCTGCCTTCTGTGCCCAACCTGTGCTGGGTGAAGCTGAGGACCCAGAGATGGCTCAGCTCCACGCCCTGCCTGCAGGAGGGGCGCCCGGGGTAGGGTGGGAAAGGGAAGCAGGGGCACACCATGCAATTATCAGGAAGGTAGGACGTGTGCCAGGTGCTGAGGAAGGCGTGGAGAAAGGGCTGTTGGCAGTCAGGGCAGCCTTCACGGAGAGGAAGGTGGGCCCCGCAGGGGTCCTTCTGACACTCAGATCACGTCACTGGCTGCCCTGCTCGAACATCTCCCGTGGTTCCCTGTCACCCCCAGGATAAAGTGCAAGCCCGCTCACTTTGCAATCCAGTGGGGTCCCATTGCTACTTCCCTGACACGTCACCTCTACTCCAGTCACCCCCGGTCACCTGAATTCCCCCGGAACTTTCACACACCTGCCCCCTTTGCACTCTCCACCTGGGACTCCTCGCCCGGCAAACTCCTATGCATCCTTCAAAGCCCCGCTTCACAGAAACCTCCTCCAGGAAGCCTTCTCCAAGCCCCCTTCCCTGCTGAATCCTTCCTCTCCCATCCTCACATCCCTCCTCTACTCCAACCCTGACCATGTGATGCCAGAACAGTCTGTGTCCAGGTTGGCTCTCTCATCCGTTTCCCCCTCGAGTAAAAAGGGGACAGTAATGCTGACCTTGGAGAGATTGTCTAAGAAAAGCCCCACATGGCTGGTTCCCACTGTGGAACAGCGCTTGGCCAGGAAGGTGTGCATCTCTGTGGTTGACGGCTTAGATTCTGGTCAGCTCAGTCTAGGTTCAAATCCAGCCCTGCCCCCAGCTAGACATGTAAGTCTGGACACGTTGCTACTGTCAGAGGAGGAAATCAATCAATCCTCCCGCATAGTGTCCCTGCACGACTCAACAAGCTGATGTGTTCCTGGCACACGAGGTGCTCATTGAATGTGTGGACGCAAATGAATAACTGAGCGACCGTTGGCCACTTTTATTACCATAATCACAATGATCTCTTATTGCCTCAAGAACTTGTGAGAGGAATGTTCTGGTGACCTGTTAGTAAAAAATGAACGCACGGCCGCTGTGGAAAACAGCAAAGCGATTCCTTAGAAAGTTAAACATAGAGGCTGGGAGCAGTGGCTCACTCCTGTAATCCCAGCACTCTGGGAGGCCGAGGCAGGAGGATCGCTTGAGGTCAGGAGTTCAAGCAAGAGCAAGACCCCGTCTCTACTGAAAATAGAAAAATTAGCCGGGCGTGGTGGCGCATGCCTGTAGTCCCAGCTCCTCGGGAGGCTGAGGCAGGAGGATCGCTGGAGCCCGGGAGTTGGAGGCTGCAGTGAGCTGTGACGATGCCACTGCACTCCAGCCTGGGTGACAGAGCAAGACCCTGTCTCAAAAGTAAATAAATAAGTAAATAAATAATGAAACACTGACACCTGCTACGACGTGGACGAACCTCAAAACCACGATGCTTATTGAAAGAAGCCGGACACAAAACGGCACATTTTATATGGCTCCTTTTATATGCTATACCCAGAATAGGCAAATCACAGAGAGAGAGAGAGAAAGCACGCACGAATTAGAGGTTACCAGAAGGTAGGAGGGAGGGAGAAATGAGAAGTGATTACTTAATGGGTACAAGGTTTTTTATGGGGTGATTAAAAATGTTGAAACTGGAAAGAGCTGGTGCTTGCACAACGTTGGAAATACACCAAATACCACCGACTGTTCACCTTAAACGGTTAATTGTACGTTATGGAAATTTCACTTCAATTTCAAAAAGACTACATAAAAGCAGGCTATAATTATATGCCTATATGTCACCGTCCATCCTCTATAAAGCACGTTTTCCTACTTCCTCTCATTAATGCTCCCCATTCCAGAGGCCCATGCGATGACGAGGAAACAGAGGCTCCAACAGCGGCTGTGCGGGTCCAAGCCCAGAGCGGCAAGTCCCCCCAGGTGTGGCCCCAGCGGGGGACGGAGTCTGTGACTGGGGGCTGAGTCTGTCAGTGCAAGGCGGAGCGGGAGCCCCCAAGGGCCAGGAGGCCTGACTCCAGGCTGACTCACAGGCCCACCCTCTGCAGCTCTCTACCCAGCTTCTCCAGCCGGGAGGCAGAGGATGTCCTGCCTGTCCCACAGGAGGGAAGGGCAGGGGAGGAGGGACCCAGGCATCTACGGAGTGCCGGCCCACGCTGGAGGCTCTACTCCTCGGTCGACCTGGAGACTCACAATTAAACAGGACGGTGTTCAGGAAAGTGACGCTCTGAGAAGGAGAAGAAAGAAGGGGGAAGGAGGGGGGAAGAAGAGGAAGAAGAAAAAGAAGAAAAAGAGAAGGGAGGAGATGGGGAAGGAAGGAGAGAGAAACAGAGAGAGAAAGAAAGAAGTATATAGCCGGGTGCAGTGGCTCACACCTGTAATCCCAGCACTTTGGGAGGCCTAAACAGGAGGATCACTTGAGGCCAGGAGTTCGAGACCAGCTTGGCCAACATAGCAAGACCCCATCTCTAAAAATATATATAAATTAAAAATCAGCCAGGCATGGTGGTGCACACCTGTAGTCCTAGTTACTCGGGAGGCTGAGGCGGGCGGATCACTTGAGCTCAGGAGTTTGAGGCCAGTCTGGGCAACATAGCAAGACCCCATCTCTGAAAATATTTTTAAAATGAGCTGGGCATAGTGACACACACCTGTAATCCCATCTACTCAGGAGGGTGAGGTGGGAAGATCACCTTGAGGCCAGGAGTTGGAGGCTGCAGTGACCCATGATCGCACCCCACTGCACTCCAGCCTGGGTGATAAAGCAAGGCCCTGTCTCTAAAAAAAAAAAAAAGGAAAAAGGAAAAAAAGAAAAGGAAAAAAGTATATAAAAAAGACAGAAGAGGGAAAACTCTTATTATTACTTACCCACATTATATTATTGAATTCTCACAACTGCTCCCATTTTACAGTTCAAAAACTGAGGCCCTGAGACGCTAGATGAATTGGTGGGGTCACATAGCAAGTATGTGCTGGAGCCAGAATTCAAACCCAGCCCGCCTGGGTCCTGGCCCAAAGCTCTTTTCACAAGCCGGTGCCCATCCCTTGGAACAGTCACTTCTCCCAGGGTCTGGGTTCTCCCCGTAGTTTGGTGGGGAACGTCATCTTTTCACAAACGCAATAATCGGGGACAAAGGGGCATGGAGAAGGGAAGGATGACAGTCCCTTCCTCTGTCACGGCTCCCGGGCGGCAGCCTCGGAAGTGGTCTCCAGATGTGTGTTTGTAGAGGCCCAAGATGGGGCCAAAGATCCTAAAATTCCTGGAGCTCTTTCTTTCCCATCCTTTCTTTCTCAAACGCCCTGCAACAGAGCCTCACTTATGAGGACGGTGTCGCCGGACACAGACATACCCAGCCCTGAAGGGTCAGGACTGAGAACGGGAACAGCCAGAGGAGGGAGCTGCGTTCTGTCTGGGGGGTCAGGGAGGGACTCCCGGAGGAGGAGGCCACGGGAGCGAGTGTCGAGGGCTGAGCAGGAGCTTGCCAAGCACACTTGGGAGGCCCACACTTAGGGATGGGTGTGGGCTGCACAAAGGAAAAGTAATCCTTCCAACTTCTCCCTCCCTGACAGTTGGGACCAGCCCAGATGATGACAGCAGGCTGCGGGCTGGGCCACCAGGAGCCCTGGCCATCCTGGGAGTGTCAGAACCCAAACGATGGGAGTGCCATGGCCCAGGATGAAGCAACACCGACTTAGCAAAACCCTAGGTGAGCAACCGCCTATCTGAACATGCTCGGATCTGACTTCCAGATAGGTGGACATCCCCTCAGAGTTCCTGGGACTCTTAGTCATTGTCACATCTTTGTCCATGCTGTTCCCACAATCCGGACTGCCATTCCCGTGAACTCCTATTCATCCTTCAAAGCCTTATTCAAATGACCCTTCTTTTAGATAGCCCACCTGCCTAGAGTCCCAGGTGGGCTCTGGGAGTTGAGGACTCACCCACTGTTCAGAGGCCCAGCCCACCTACCTGAGGCGCCTACCAGGGGCTTAATGTAATCGGGGTGTACCAGAACCACCAGTGGCAAGATAGGTCCCATCCACACCAAAACCACGTGGTGCATGTTGTCCAGCACCTTCTTCTCATCTTGAAGGCCCGTCTCATTTGGAAGATACTGCAAGAGGTAAGGGAGAGACAGTGAGGAGGTGCCCAGCCCCAGCTTCCCCATCATCTCTCCCTCTGAGGACAATTGAGAGTATTCACGAATTTATAGAGCAAGAGCCCCAGCATGGACCTGACACATGGCTGGTGTATATGAGATAAAAATAGGGGCCGTGTGTGGTGGCTCACAGCTATAATCCCAGCACTTTGGGAGGCCTAAGCAGGAGGATCACTTGAGGCCAAGAGTTTGAGATCAGCCTGGGCAACATAGCAAGACCCCATCTTTACCAAAAAATAAAAATAAAATAAACTTAGCCAGGCATGGCAATGCATGCCTGTAGTCCCAGCCACTCAAGAGGCTGGAGTGGGAGAATCACTTGAGCCCAGGAGTTCAAGGGTGCAGTGAGCTGTGATCACACCACTGCACTCCAGCCAGGGTGACAGACCAAGACTCCATCTCTTAAAAAAAAAAGAAAAAGAAAGAAAGAAAAGAAGGAAGGAAGGAAAGAAAAATAGTAATGGCAAACACAATAATGATAATAGTTGGTATTTTTTTGGTTTTTTTGTTGTTGTTGTTGTTTTGTTTGTTTGTTTGTTTGTTTTTGAGACAAAGTCTCACTCTTTTGCCCAGGCTAGAGTACCGTGGCATCAGCCTAGCTCACAGCAACCTCAAACTCCTGGGCTCAAGCGATCCTTCTGCCTCAGCCTCCCGAGTAGCTGGGACTACAGGCATGAGCCACCATGCCCGGCTAATTTTTTCTGTATATTTTTAGTTTTCCAATTAATTTCTTTCTATTTTTAGTAGAGACGGGGTCTCGCTCTTGCTCAGGCTGGTCTCGAACTCCTGAGCTCAAACAATCCGCCCGCCTCGGCCTCCCAAAGTGCTAGGATTACAGGCGTGAGCCACCGCGCCCGGCCAATAGTTGGTATTTATCAAGTGCTTGCTATGTAAGTAATAAAATATTACTACTATTGTTATCTTCAACACATACATGCGCCTGCACTACGTCGGGCGCTGTCGTGGGAACTTTTCATCTATTGGTACATTCAATCCGCACAAGAACCCTACGAAGGCATTGCTACTATTTTCCCCGTTTTACTTTGCTCAGAAAGGTCAAATGGCTTGTCTGATGTTACAAGCGAGTAAGTGACTGCCCTGGTTTGGGCTCTTCCAGAAGCAGATCCTGAAACAAGGGTTCTAGCGTAAGTAGTTTCTTTGGGAAGTAATCCAAAAAAAAACCACAGCAGGGTCGTGGGAGAGTGAGATGGGAGGGAAGACAGCCCATAAAGGGTGGATTGTCAAGGACGTTACCACCATGGGCAAGTGGGGCTCAGTCCTTCGCCAGCAACGGGGGAGTCCTTAATTCAAAGAGCCCACCTGGGATTCTAAGCAGGTGGGCTATCCAGAGGAAGGGTCATTTGAGTAAGGCTTTGAAGGATGAACAGGAGTTCACAGGCATGGCAATCCAGATTATGTGAATAGTATGCACAAAGATGTGACAATGACTAAGAGTCCCAGGAACTTTGAGGGAATGTCCATCCACCTGGAAGTCAGAGTCAAGCATGTTCAGATAGGACGTTGTTCATCTAGGGTTTGGGGGTTTCGGAGGACAGTGTAGGACATCATACCTCAGAGTCATCCCACCTGAGGGCAAGGGAGCTGGGGTGTTTATCCACCGATACCCATTAATAACTGAGGGCTGCACCTGAAGCGGATTAATTCCGCAGCTCACAGTGCATGTAGACAGAGTGGACTCCAGCCACTGGAGTGAGCCTTAGGATGCAGATACCGGCAGCGGGAAGTGGGGCCGTTGCATCCAGAAATGGGTTGAGAGAATACAGGTAGGCGCTGACATCACTGACCACAGTGGCAAAGCCAGGATCCGACCCCAGGCCACCCGCCTATGAAATTGCTCTTCATCAACCTGCCGTATGAGGCAGAAACTCTTCAGACTCAATGTCAGATGGAGCTGAGTTCAAACGCACCTTCAGCCACTGTGTGACCTTGGGCAAGTCACTTAACCTCTCTGAGCTCGAATCCATACCAGAGCGAATCCAAGAAATAGGACGGATCCATCCCAATTTCACAGGTCGTGAGAATTAGGGGAGAGCTCAGATAGGAAGGAGCCTAACCCAGTGTTCGGCCAGCAGTAGGGCCCAGCAATTGTCAAAGGAATGAACGAGCAACTGACTCCTCGCTGGGTCCTGTGTCTCCCTCTGTGTCAGGCTCAGCCTTGAGCCCGTCCGCATCCAGGGGAAACTGTGGCCTCACCCAGGCCCCCAGCGGCCCAGAAGGTGGGCTGGACTACACGGTCAAGGCCGGGCTTCAGAGCTGGGCCTGGCCAGCTGCCTCTGGGACAGCTGTTGAGTGCAGAGGGAGCTCCCTGGAGTACGGGCATTGGAGACGGGGCGTGGAAAATGAGTAGAAGCTCATCTAGCAGAGAATGCCACGCCGGACAGAAGGCGCAGTTTCGGCAAAAGCCATGCAGGTGGATAGTCAGAGCCGTGTTATGGGAGCAGGAAGTCGTTCCTTGGGACTAGAGGGGGATGACAGAACAGGTGAGAAGTGCGGGGGTCAGAATCTAAAGGGCCTTGAACACCAGCCTTTGCCTGAATGGCAATGGGGAGCCATGGAGGGTGCGTGAGCAGGGGAGGGACATGGTTGGATTCAGGAATCCCTCTGGGGCCAGTAATGGGGGGTAGACTGGAGGGGTGAGGCAGAAGCCCAGGGGGGCAGCTGACCCACAGTCCAGCAGGGAAGAATAAGGCCTGAGCAGGGATTGGGGAAGAAAGAGAGGAGATTCAGGCACAAGCAGGTGAAACTTGGTGAATGATGTCCCCAGGAGCAGGAAGGGCTGGGAAGCTTCCTTCCTTCTACGCCCTTCATGCTGAGATAATTCCAAAAACGAAATAAAATGTTCTTTGAGATATTAAGTGGAAATGTGTCTCCTAGTTTCTTCTTCTGAGACACTGGGTTCAAGCAGTACCTAAAATATTTCTAGAATCACTTGATACTTCCAGTCTCCGCGGGACCCAGCAGTCGAGCACACGCATCTGCCACACGGTGCCTGCCGTGTCCCAGTCCAAGTACATCGCAGACATAACTCCAAGGAATCCAAAAAATAATCCCATTGAGTTATTAAGAATTATTACAATATTTTTACAGGAGCGACCCTCCTCACCCCCACCCCTGCCCCAGGGTTCCAAACTTCACAGGTGAAGGTACCTGTTGCTATAGTGATAGCCACAAAATTGTAGAGAGAACCCATCTTTAAAATCAGTTCTGCCTCACTCCGGCTGTGTGACGTTGGGTGAACTGCTTGCCCTCCCTGAGCCCCATAAAATAAATCTGCTCACAGCCCCAACAAGGCTCTTGGGAGGACGTGGGAAGCCCAGCAGTCCCACCGTCCTTACTGAATGCCTGGCACCTGCCCCAGCCCAGCCCTGCCCGTGCCCGGCCACACTCACCATGCCCAGGTGACCCAGCAGCCAGTTGCGCCGGGGCGGCTGGGGGAAGCAGCGCAGCCGGCGGCAGGTGACGTAGAAGCTCCAGCAGAGCCGCAGGAAGTGCAGCAGCAGGCGGAACACAAAGAAGAGCAGGAGGAGGAGGAGGGCGGACACCGCGTACAGGCGGAAGGTCGTCTTCTCCAGCTGCAGGAGGTGCAGCAGGTGGTCTGTGACGGGTAGCATCCTGGGGCTCACGCAGGGTGGGGTCAGTGCTCTGGTGGGGACCGCTCTGCAGACACACGTGTGGCACATGCACAGTGACCCCTAGGGTCAAGCACAGTGCAGCCCAGACACCAGGAATACCTCTTCCTCCCCTGGCCATGACCTCCAGCCAGCCGGCCAGACGGATGACCAGGGGCCCCACCCATGCACCCTCGGCCTTGACTTTTGCAGGGCACCCCTCCTGACTTCTGTACCGCTGGCTGCCCATGCACAGCTGGTCGCCGTCCTGGGAAACTAAGACCCCCCATAAAGGAGCAGCTCTCAACCAATGACTGGTGTGCACTGGTGGAAAAATGCCCCTCCCCTCCCCCCTCGGGCCGGGTGACCCTACTGTACGGGTCCACACTCCTCCAGGTTTCCGCGGCGGGGTTAAACTCCAGCTGCCCACAGTAGAAACTTTCTCTATTGGCTGTGTCCCTTCCCTCTGCTGCTTTTTTTTTTTTAGAGGGGGGCAGGAGGACAATTTCACTCGGTCACCTGGGCTAGAGAGCAGTGGCGTCATCATAGCTCACAGCAACCTCCAACTCCTGGGCTCAAGCGATCTTCCTGCCTCAGCCTCCTGAGTAGCTGGGACTACAGGCATGCGCCACCATGCCTGGCTAATTTTTGCATTTTTTTTTTTTTTTGGTAGAGATAGGGTCTCGCTATGTTGCCCAGGCTGGTCTCAAACTCCTGGCCCCAAGCAATCTTCCCACCTCAGCCTCCCAAAGTGCTGGGATTAAAGACACACGCCACTGCACCTGGCCTAAGCATGATGTTTTCGGGGTTCACCCACGTCGTATCACGTATCAATGCTTCATTCCTTCTACTGCTGAGTAATAGTTCATTGCAGGCATTTATCACTCTCCGTTTACCCATTCTTCTCCCGATTTGGGCTGTTTCCATCTTTTGGTTGTTATGAAATATGCTAATCTGAGCATGCGTTACCTTTAGTTGTTTGGGTACCTGTTTTCAATTCTTTGGGGTTCACTTTCGTCTTCCTTGCTGGTATTTCCTGCGAT